AAACTCCATTTGAAGTACGAAGGCAAACAAAACGTTAATTTTGACATTATATATCTTTTCAACAAATCAGAAACTGTAACCAATTTTTAATCCGAAGATTAAATATTCCAGGGGTTTTCAATGGTGGTAAGCAGAGAAGCAAAGTATTATTAACTATTAAGTTCAAAAATTAAATACTCAACATCCTAATTGTTTTCGTAAATTTATGTGATCTGAAGCTTTGTTCAAGAGTGGTGGTGGTAGTAGTACTTTGCAGTGGTGGTACTAAAGGTTTTCAGTTTTTGTTCAGATGGTACGCGTTAGTCAAAAGGTTGAGAACCGCTTAAATAGTCTATTATATACTATATGAATTATAAAAAATGCATTTTTCATTACATTTCTGAATTTTTCCTATTTGTACTAAGGTTTGGGAGATGTAATCATCGACTGTGGATTGGACTTTCATTACTATAAAGTACAGAAGGCAAACTGTTGTGAAAAACCATTCATCTAAATTCAAAAAGCTTGCAGAAAAATATATACTTTCTGTCTGACGATAAGGCTTCACTCGGCTACTCTGTAAAGTGTGCTTATTCAAACAGATTCCACACCTTATTAAGAGCTTTGTGTCAATGACAGCCGCCTACGGAAACGCAGGGGGAAGGAATATCTCGCGTAGAGTCTCAACACGTTTTAAGCATTAATCGGAAACCTTACCTTCATGTACACACGTCTTAATCATTTTTCGAGAATTTCATTTCCGTGTATACCCGTCTTAAACATTTTTAGAGCGATCTCTGAAAATGTTTAAAGACGTCTTAGACAGTTAAAGGGTTAATGAATCATAGAGAAAATCGTCATGTTCGCCTATTTTTAATGTATCTACTACGCACGGAAAAGAACAAAAAAAACCTTTAATCTCACTGAGCTTAGTTAACTGAAAAGCAAAACTGAAATCCTCAGGAAATGTCCTGAGGCAGTGTTTTCGCTGTCAGGAATTTCATCATATCTCTCCTACTGCTCGTGCAGTCCTGTGTGTGTGTTCAAATGAATATAAATTACTTAGAAATCCGCCAAGGAAATGTGCTAGCTGTTATGAACCTCACTTTTTATCCTTTTCAGCAATAGTGGGGCGCCCGATCAGCTTGGAAATATAGACCGAAAAGTCCCACTGTTGTAACTATCTATAACACAATAACATAACGCCGAGAATGTATATATTTTGAACACGATCTTTGTGGAATGTCGAGGAGGTGGCTGAACAACTATGCAACAAATGTAACAAATTATACTAGCAAATTAATACTTGAAAAGTCAAATACGTACAACAAGAAAATAAATAAATAATAGAAGTAAAATTAAAATTAGTACAATTATAAGGATAAATTTTAAAATAAATGAATATATAAATTAGATACATAAAACGAATAAGTGAGCATATACAGCAATGCAGTTACATACAATGAGCATTTGTGCGGTTTTCTTATATTGCTAGTAACAGAAAGCATAATTTAAAAATCTGAATTATCAAAACATACATTTCTGAAACTGCAGATAGTTTTTGCTACAACATTAAACATCAACTAAAGACTATAATTTCAATTCAAAATCATGAACCACGACCCCAAGAAAAAAATATTTTCCAAGTTAATGCTCTAATTTTGTAACAATTAGCATCATTTTAAGCTGGCACCTTGATGTCTTCATGCAAAGAAAAATTTAAGTGTTCGTGACGATCAGCCCTTAATTAATATTACACCTAACTTTCGTTACTTGCAAAGAAATACAGGAAGTTTTACCCATAGTTTCAAAAGAAATATTTCTTGTAAAATGAGGTAAATGCACTTCTAACAAATTAAATATTTATTCTGCTTTTTGAAAAATCTGAATGCTTTCAGATTTTATAATATGCCCAAAAGGGTGTTTCTAACGTTTTGTGAGTTACCTTTATTTATTAAACATCATGTTCTTCGCACTTAAACCATAAAATTCAATTATCAATATCACAAAATTATTTAAAAAGAGTATAACTTTAGAATTTTCGATACAGAGTTTCGTGCGCTGGAGATAAAAAAGTCCGCCCCCCTGTTAAGTGTTGCCATTGCTCGTTTTGAAATCATTGAGTCTGTTAATAAAAAATTCGTTAAAATTTTGAAAAAGTTGAAATATATAATAAAATAAATTCCAAATTCCAAATTTGGGCTTCCAGATTATCATATTCGAGTGGAGGATTTCGTTATTCAAATTGGATGTCTCTAGGTACCGTTGTTTTTTCACAGTGCGAGAAACATACATGCATTCTTGCAGATTCCTCATTATTTAATTTCTTTAAATATAATGCATAACTCTAATATCTGGTGGCAACAATTTGAAAAGTGAAACGCCGTTTATAGTGAACCAACCCAAAACGCCAAAACGAAATTAATAGCTCTTCTGGGATGATGAAATAACTAATCTTAATAATTTAAAATACACTTAACTGTTAATATATCCTAACATAATATTTACAAATTTTTGCAGGATTATTGAAATTAATGAAAGATATTTTCTAGCGCCTTTTATTTTGAATATGCTACAGCGTATTTTAGGTGTCCTCTTTTTAAAATACTATTATGTATGAGGGTAACGAATTATTTTTTTATATTTTTGCATGATTTCCTATAATTCGAATTTCATTAATTTCATCATAAGACTGAAAGAACTTTTAAAGAGTCTGTACTTCTCAGATATCTTTTATTACGGATTTCATAAAACTCTTTTTTTCGATCACATTTATCTTTACAAATAATTTTTAAACCATTTTATCGTAGTTTGTATTTAAACAGTCGTGATTCTAATGAAATTACTTGACATTAGATAACTTTATGTGAAACTTAATATAACTTTATGAAGAAGGTAGATGCGGTGAATTAAAACAATATAATTTTCTTTGTATATACTTGCATACTGAGTTAATGCTTAATGATCGTAATGAGACACGTTCAATATACTGAATCCATACACTCATGCATTGTTTGAAAAATAACGAAATTAATTTTCAGACATACGGAATAATTTTCTAATAATTTACTAGTTCTCCAAATTTTATGCCATCTGACAGAAATTTATATACAGAGAAATTGAAATAAAAATTTAATTTAAAAAATCTGAAATTACGTCCAAAGGGGCCTTTTTCTTAACGCTTTTTACTGAAATTTTAAATTACGTCCAAAGGGGCTTTTTTTTTTAACGTTTTGTGTGTCACCTTTATTTATTAAATATCATGTTCTTTGCACTTAAAACATAAAATTCAGTTCAATAGCAATGTCGCAAAATAATTTTAAAATCAACATATCTTTAGAATTTCCAATACACAATGGGACGCGCTGGAGAAAAAAAGCTCCCCCCCCCTCGTAGAGTGTTGCCATTGCTCGCTTTTAAATCGTTGAGTTTGTTACTCAAAAATTCGTTAAAATTTTACAAAATATGAAATCGATATAAAATAAATTCCAAATTTCAATATACATATATATATATATATACAGAGAGAGAGAGGTATTTCTATATATATATATATATGTTATACCAGATATTCTAGAGTCTGTTCATTCCCCCTATTTTTCTTTGAGAAAATTTTTGTTTTTTATATTCGTATGTCTAAATGATGTGGAATAAAATCGATGCTTCTCCTGTCGAATAATAAATTTACTCTATTTTAAGATTTATTTGCACAGAAACTCATCTCAAATTGTATTGCGTCTATCTATATAGACAATAGTGTTAAAGAAAACTCTGTGACAACTAATGTTTTCTCATAAATTCTGTGATAGATCGGCTTAACGAACAGACATCAGACTTCTGAGACAAAGATATGCAACATCTTCCGACGGACGTTAGCACAATGTTTTAACATGGAAGGCAGCTGTAACGGTAGCAATAATCTATGTTTTATGCACTAAGCAAAAAAAAAGGGGGTGCAGTTCTATATCTCCCGTTCTACTGGGCAGATTGACGAAATTCAACTTGCGTTTTTCATGTCTCGAAAGTGCGACTTAGGATACGTATTACAGTAGACGTTCGTTTTTACGAACCTCTTTTTTACGAACACTCTCGATTTGACGAACTAGCGAATGGTCCCGAATACACTCCCATAGATGTAATGTAATTTTGCGCTCTTATTTACGAACTACAAATCAGGAAAATCTCTTTTTTGCGAACTCAGTTTTCATACTTCTGCGTGTTTCATTGGGACGAAGTGTGAAGGTCAAATAAAATCTCCAACTATTTTGAGGCAGCAAGTGATTCGAAGAAGAACAGTAAGGAAGGAGGGGGCGGAGAAGAGGGGGAATTAAGACAAATTTATGGTGTTGTTTGTTGTGGGAGGCTCTCAGAAGAGCATCGGCCTGATGTTGTTGGGTGGGGGTGAGACCATTCGTGTTAAAGGGGTTTGGGTTGCTTCTAAAAGAGAGTTGTTGCTTTTTGTAATGTCATAGTCATTTGATCTGGACAACTTAATCAGTGAAGTCTCGTTAGTCGAGAGGGAGATTGGGCCAGTTTTTGTTAAGTAAGATTCTTAGAGCTATGTCGCAAATGAAGAAACGAATTTGTTTAGCGGTTGAATAAAGAAGAAGATTTAAAAGAAGTTGACGAAAAAATATTAAGCAAGACCAAAATTGCTCAGAAATATGGAATTCCTAAAAATAGTTTATCGACGATTTTAAAGGCAAGAGAGAAGATCTTTGGAGCTAAAAACGGAAACGATGAATGTGGGACCCTCCTCTCGAAAATACTTTCGAGAATCAAAACACCCAAATTTGGAAAGGGCTTTGCTTGTTTGGTTGTTTCGAAAGATGAGAAGCTTAAACATCCCAATTGATGGAAATGTACTTAAAGAACAAGCACACTTTTTTGCTTCCAAATTAAACATCAAAGATTTTAAAGCATCGAATGGTTGGTTACAGAAATTTAAATTTCGGAATGGTTTGAGTTTCCGGAAAGTGTGCGGTGAAAGTGCAGCAGTAGACACGTCATCAGCAAAATGAATGGAAAGAAGAAAAGTTGAAATTGCTTCTTCTGAATACGCTGCAGATGACGTTTTTAATGCGGACGAAACGGCTTTGTTTTTTAAGATTTTGCCAGAAAGAACATTAGCTTACGAAGGAGATAAATGTGTTGGAGGTAATAAAGCTAAAGAGAGACTTACAGTTTTGATTGCAGCCAACATGACTGAGTCACAAAAATTGCCTCTGCTCTTTATTGGAAAATATCTGAAACCAAGGTGTTTAAAAAATGTTCAGAAGATTCCTGCTGCATATTATGCTAATAATAAGGCCTGGATGACTGGCAACATTTACGAAAAATGGTTGAGAGATTTAGATAACCGTTTTTCAGCAGAGAAGCGCAAAGTTCTCCTAATTGTGGACAATTGTACTGCACACATGGAAGTCACTGGGCTTCAGGCACTCCGTGTGGAATATCTACCACCAAATGCAACTGCAGTTTTACAGCCAATGGATCAGGGGATAATCAATAGTTTCAAGCGAAAATATAAGACAGTGCTCTTACAAAGAGTAATCCTTGGCTTGGAAAGGGAACAACCTTATCAGATTGATATTCTTGGTGTAATGCATTTATCAATCAATGCATGGAATGATGTTTTAGATGAAACAATTTCTAAAGCCTTTCGACATGCAGGTTTTATTAAAGAAACAGACGTAACTGAAGAAATCCATGACAATAGATCTCACGACGAAGATGAGGTTCTCATGCATGAACTTGCCGTAGAAATCCACAGTTGTCAGAACTTTCATCGAGGATTTTTTAAATGTGGATTCTAATGTCATCTGCACGGAGGAAATATCGGATCACGATATTATTAGCAGCATAATCAACGAGAATGAGAGACTTTCAGATCCAGAAGAAGAAGAAGAAGAAGAAAAATTGAAGTAACACCAAGACCGACTTTAAAACAAGCTGCTGATACTTGTCAGAAACTTAGAGACGATTTTTGAGGCCAGTGATAATTGTGAAAATGCTAACAAATATAGAGAAGATGGAGTCTTGCATTGTACAATCGTGTTTTTAAAAAAGACAAAAAGATAAGTGATATTTTGTTGCTCAATGACTTAATAAAGGTACGTTTTACAAATATTTTAATTTCTTGTTTGTTTAATAGAATGGATCATTTTTAAGTAGTAATATATAAAATAATTCCTAATACATAAATAAAAGCATGGAATAGTATCATTAACCTGTCTCGAAAACATTAAAATGTGAAATACTAACAATTTCCGATGCCTTTCTAAATTACGAACTCTCGATTTAACGAACTGTTTTCGTAGTTCCTACGAGTTCGTAAAAACGAGCGTCTACTGTAGATTTACAAATAGTATTGTTCTAATATAGGTATTTTGACAAAAAAAAATCGAACTTTTTCTGAAAAGACATGCCAATTGTTTTTCCATATTTCGATTTTACGACTCAAATTATGTCAAACTGCCACGTTTTGTAAAAATCGCGCGAGTAAGTTTTAAAAATTAGCTTTCAAAATTTTAGTTCCTCAATGTTAATTGAGTTTGATATATATTTATTAATATCTCTTTTTTATTAAACTTTCTTGTTTCCTTCGAGAATTCTAAATTTAGGCTAAGCCAAACATAATTTGCTCAATTTTTATGATTTTATTTTTTAAATTTATATTTAAATAATATTTATAAATGTTTTGAAAAACATTTTGAATTATAATCCATAAAATTTTTACCATCATCTTAAAGTAAGTAGATGTATTTCTAAGCATACCTGAAAAAAATTAGAATTTTTATTCAAAATTTTCTAAGATATACAGGAATTTGTATATTATCGCATTTTGAAATTTGGCATCTTTTTTTGAATGATAACGCCAAATGTGGTTTACGCACTTTGCTAAAATTATTTGAAAGTATGAACGATAGCTATTTTTCCGCTCGTCTACAACGAAAAAAGGAAAAATGATAGGTTGATGTAAATTAAGAAATTCGCCAAGTAAATTATTCTTCGCGCAAACTGAAAAAAAATGCACCAAGATAAATTTTTTAATTTCTCAATAAACTTCGCACCAAATTTGACAAAATTTAGTCATAATTTGAGTCTTAGAATCGAAATATGAAAAACAATGGCATGTCATTTCAGAAAAAGTCCGATTTTGTGTCAAAATACCTATGCTATAATAATACTGTAGAATCGAAACTTACTGTCTAGGAATATGATGTTCGTAAACTTACTTCTGATGTGGCTGTCTAGGGGCTAATAAACTAGTCCGATTTACAAATAACTTGAATATTTAATGAAACATGAATAGTTGCTACAAACTACAAAGTAATTACATACGTAGAAGGAAATAGATGAGATTATTTACAAACGAAGAGAAGGAATCGCATTTTACGAGCAAACATCTTTGAATCGCGTCATCGTCCTAATGGCGGAATCCCTCTGGCCTTCGTCATCGAAAAAGTGAAAGATTTCCTCCCACTGCTTGTCGCGTCATCCGATTATAAATGAACGATGCCAACCCACAATACTATATATAAATCTAATATATATCCGAAGTCACGCTTTCGAGACATGAAAAACGCAATTTGAATTTTTTCAATCGGCCCAATAGAACGGGAGATATAGAAGTGTCCCATTTTTATTCGCAGTGTACATATTATTATTATATTTCAAGCCGATTTTCATAATTTGTATTATCCGAAACTTTATATAGATTTCATATTCAATTTTAGTACTATTTAAATTTCACGGTATTTTTACCAGTATAAGATAGCTAAGACATTTTTATTCAAAACACAAAAATATATTCAAGCAAAACATCCTCTTTTACATTAAGGAACTTTTCTTAAAATGTATAGCAATGAATCAACCGAAAAACCTATATAGTCACTAAAAAGTAAATTTTTCCGCCTAAGATCTAAAGACTTTTTTTTTAGTACTTCGAACAGAACTGGTCGATTAAGTTTCTACTTGGAAAGTTCCAGTTACTAGCAGCACTTAGCATAGAAAAATCATTATAAAGAAATCTTCATTCCAATGACATTTATCAAGCGTTTTCCCTTACCTAAAGTATACCTCAGCTGCATTTTTTTAAATTATTTAAGCAAAAAGTGGGAGAGTACTTTCCAGATCGGTTTGAACATTTGGTATAATATTCTAAAATGGCCTTTTACTTCAGTCGTCTATGTAACTACTGCTTGTCGAACTTTGATTGATTTAAAAGTTTCAAGATGAAAAAATCTTCCATTAATGTCAAACGAAATTCGCTTGAAGATGTAATAGTAAACAGCAGCTGAAAGTAGTGATAGAATAACTGAATGAATTTGAACATACAATGAAAGAAAGCTGATGGATAACTTAAATTCTGTTTTTGCGCCTCTATATTTATAAAAATACGATTACTAATTCCAAAAATTTAATTAATTGTACAAAAAATTATATCTGGTATAAAAGGATTAAAATTTTCAAACCAAGAAATGGGAGAAAGCAGTGTGCCTTTGTTGGAATCCGAATAATACTAAGGACTACGAGAAATGTCTAATGGATACACTTTCTAACTCAAACATACTGACAGCTAAATGTAAAATCTTTAAACAGACATTTATTTCGAATAATTCTAATATGTTTAATAAGCCATTAAATAAATTACTAAATTAAACTAAAAATAAACAAATTACGGAAACTTTCCAAGTGGTACAAAACCTGAGAATAAATAATGACAAACTTTCTTTTATTTACTAAATCTTTCTCAAACGTACACAGAAAAAAAAAATATACATTTGTATTTAAAGTTCAACTTTAAGTTAAAACATCTCATGGCATTTCGATTTTCATGAAGTTTGTAGGCCTGGAGAAAAATTACTAGAAGCTATCTTCATCACGAATTATAAATGCTTATTAGCCAATATTTTTTTAAACTCGTTCATTTCCAACTACGGGGGAAAACTGTTCACATATAAATATACTGCAAAAAATTGGAACTAAAATTGAATCAACATAATCTTAAAACCTTTCGTCAAATTCTTGGCACGATAATTAATTCATGAAATGTTAATTAACCTCTTCGTCATCCGTAACGCGCCTAGCGCGTTCAAGGGAAACTTCAGTGCGGCCGTAACGCGCCTCAAGCGTTCTTCTACATTTAAAAACTTTTAAACCTTTAAAACGCTTTTTAAATGTTTACTTGTTTGAGTTTTTATTTTTGTTTGTTCTAATACCTCCTAGAGGGGTAGCACTAATCAGGCATTCTATTTCTAATTGAATATGTCCCGGATTTTATGAATATTAGCGCCATTTTACATAAGATACATGACAGTGAGAGATGGCTTCAACGTCTACTCAGCAGAAAAAAGAGAAAAAATGAGGTTGTGAATTGGATAGACAAGAAGGATATACGTTTGATGAGTACAATCCATAATAACTCGACTATGGATGTTGGAACACGGAAAAGAACTGTAAAAATACCAATAATTGTAAAAGATTGCAACAACAAAACGGGAGGAGTGGACCGCCTGGATCAGATGTTATCAAATTATCCTGCTGTTAGAAACAAGGAGAGATTATTTTTCATCATATTTTATTTCCTTATAAATTTACTTAATATTCATTGACATTCATCCACTACGAAAGTCATGTATGGAAAGTTATGATGCACAGAGAAAACAACATTACACGCTACGAAAAACAGACGGCCGCTGGGGAGGAATTTTCGCGGAGGAGGAGAGGACGGCAAAAGGGTTAATTTATGGGTATGTATTCATGGGCTACATGAAATTGCTTGGTGAGCCGAATGAGGCCTTCCGGCTACCAGTTTAAGACCGTTGAATTCGTTCGTTTGAATTAAATAAGCCTTTTGTGTTGAAAAAAGTATTAAAAGCTAAGAACTAATACAGTATGCGGATTACATATATTTGTCGTTTAATCAAATGCACCTGGAAGAGAGGTAGATAATCGAGAAGTCGTAAACGTAAAAAGCTAGAAACTGTAGTCTAATGTGAACAAAACATATATAAATATCTAAATATGATAGTCGATTCCTAATTCGATGCGTGGAGCAAAGAAGCACATGCAAATGAGTTAACCGATCATTCTAACTTTATTAACTCCAATTCTTAATTTTTAAGATTCTCAACAAATAAAATTGAAACTTCTAAAATATTACTAAATTATAACTAGTATACATATTTTTTTGAATACATATTTTTTAGCATTATTTATTCATTTAATAATTTTGTCAATATGATAACCCTCCTCACATATACGAAATGTGTTTTAACCAGAAACAAATAAAGTCTTCTGTAACTTAAAAAGTATTTGAATTTGATTTTTTTTAGTGAATAAGGTATTTAAAAAATTTAAATGTCAAAATGATTCATAATTTCGATAGAGAAAGATAAACACTGAAAGCCTAATTATAAAGTAATTTTCTCTACCAAAATGTTTGCTTCTGCAGAAACAGTTATAAGGTATTTTCTCTCTCTTTCCGGCATGAGTTCGTGGTGTAACGCTAGCACACTCGGCGCGTATTCGAGAGATCCAGGTTCGAGTTCCGGCGAGGGCTTTGCACATTTTTCACGTTTCCTGCTTTAAAATAACGTAATGAATCTACACGGTGTAAAAATGTTATGAACTCTTACTGTCATTATTATAAAAATGATACAAAAAAATATGTATACTAGTTATAATTTCGTAATATTTTAGAAGTTTCAATTTTATTTGTTTTAAAATTAATCATTTATTTATAGCTTCTTAAAATAAAACAGCAAATAATTTTCTTCCTTGTGAATCATTTAACAACGAATCTTAAATT